GAGAGGGAGGTGGGTCAAGCCCCCCAGGGACTGAGCACCCACACTGGGGGGAGCCCTGGGGGGTCCCAACTGGGGCAGGAACACGGCTCCAGGGGACGAAGGAGAGAAACCCCCCAGGGACCCACCCAGGCCTTCGCTCCGGCGCTCGACCGCGCGGGAGCCAGCACCGAGCCAGCCCGGCGAGGAGCCCCAGCAGCAGGACCCCGGGCCAGGACCCGGCCCCTCTCCCCCTTCCCGTGGCAGAGCCCCCCGGAGCCAGCCCGCGGCCGCGGGGGCCCAGCAGGAGAGCAGCAGGCACCAGGGTTTCAGTAGCCCACCGCCATCGGGCCGCAAAGCGGGGTGAAGCCCCCGGGCCTCCTCCGTCCCCAGCACGGCCAAGGCAGGGAGCGAGCACGGGCACGGCCACGGGGGGGAGCAGCCACCCGAGCCCCCGCGCCCTGGCCGCTCCTGCGGTGCACGCACAGCACCAACGCACCGCAGGGAAACAAAAGCCCCTAAAACCCCGGCGACGTCTCCGGCAGTTGTTCTCGACAGTTCCCGGACGGGCAGGACCGCGGCTGGGAGAGGGGTTATCTCGGGGACCTCTGCAAGGCTGCCAAGCACAGCACGGCCCCTTCCTCCCGCCAGGATGAGGACAGCGGCCGCATCCTCCCCGCAGCGCCCGTGCGCGCCGTAGCCAGGGCCGCCCCAGCGCTGGCCCCGGGGTCCCACGGGCAAGCGGGGGCCGGAGGCAGCGACCGCGGGGGGATGGCCCAGCACCCTCCGCTCCTCCACCATGGCCCTGCTCCCCACGAAACCCCAACCCAGCTGAGCTCAGGGGACCAGGAGGTGAAATCCACGGGCAGGGGCCGTGCAGAGGGTGCTCTGTCCCCAGCCGCATGTGGCATCCATCCCCCCCCGGGAGAGCGTGGAGGCAGGAGGAGCAACCGCGGCCTCACCTCGGGGCAAGGGAAGACGATCAAGAAAAACCCTGGGCCACGTCTGCGTTTCCAGGACTCTATTTCTGTGTTTGGCACAACATCGTGACGTGGTTTCGCCCAAAAAGAAAACCAAAAGGGCTCAGCGGGGCATGTGGCGCAGCCACGCCGGGTCTCCCCGGGTGACACAGCCCACGCTGCACCCGCAGCCCAGCCCCGCTGCGGACGCTTCCCAAACTCCCCA